ATATATACACACACACACACACACGCACGCACACACGCACACACACTCACACACACATACACATACACACACACACAAACAAACACACACATATATACTCACTATCACACGCACACACAATCACACATAAAGTCACAAACATGACCGCACAACTTTCTTCAAAGTTCACTAAGGCGAGCAAGTTCTTTTACCCAACTTCAAACATTATTTTGTCTTGCTATAACTTGTTTTACTCTCTGTCTACACATCTCCCAATTATCTACGGCATGTCTTTTGAGAGTCACTGATTTACCTTAGTTGAGAACAGAGGTATGTATCGTGCTAATATGCTTTTTCGGAAACTGTCTGGCAGAAACGGCAACCTGTAAACTTCTGGCCCATTCTCGAACTTCGGGACTGCGGCGTCCTCTCTCGCCTGTTTCAGAGGCTCCGCCGTAGCGCGGTCAGTTCCCTGGTGGTCAGCGGCTTCTAGTTCCCCCATCTGGGCCGTGATGCCTCTCTCCTTATTCGTCCCGGGCACCGTGTTGTCAAGGATGAAAGCAAAGGCTCCTCCTATAAAGGACGGGTTGGAGATTAAGAGTTTAATGACGTTATCAACATCTGTGTTCCCGGTATCGATGGCGTCAGGGCTTTTCACGATGTAATTCGGCCCCATGATGCCCAAAAGAAGAGACATACCTAAGATGCTGAGGTTTCTGGTGGAGTTGAGGTCAATGCTCTGAAGGTAAGACAGCACCACACCGATCAACATCCCGAAGGTGATGAACTGCGAGCCTCCTATGACAGAGTAAGGGATTGAGATGAAAAACGCCCCAACTTTCCCGAGAATTGAGAGAACGACGTAAAAGATCCCCACAACCTGAAAAACGCTCCGACTGGCGACTTTACTCAGTCCTATCGCTCCAATGTTTTCGCCATAGGACACCGTGGCATGTGCACAGCCCATACCTCCGCTTAAGATGCTCATAGCACCCTCTACGGCCACGCCCCTGTTGATGGCGTATAGAGGAGGGGGCGGGGCAAAAGCTACTTTGGCAGTAGCGTTATAGTCTCCAATCGAATCCAGCACCGATAGGATTGTGGCGACAAGGAAGGTGATGAGAGCGCCGAGGTGGAACGAGGGAACTCCGAACTGGCCAGGGTAGGGGAAGATGAACCATGCCGTCTTGTGGAGCGTGTCGATTCGCGCGTCCGTCCGGGCGTTGTACTGTTTGCTGTCTTTGTCGTCCGTCAGAACTCCGCACTCTGTCAGGATGTAGCTCAGGAGACAGCCCACGACGATGCTGATGAGCAGCGCGAAGATCTGCTGAACGGGCTGACGTACCACGTGGAAGCCTTTCTTCGGCGTCCACATAGGGATGGGCGTCATGCGGTTGCTTAGATACAGACCTAGGATGATGCACGTTCCGCTGGTCACTATAGCAACCGGCCAGTAGGTTTCGGCGAAGCTGACCACAACGGACTGGATAAAGATGCCGAAGAGTGCGACAGTTGGGACGATGGTGATGGGTCCCACATAGCGAGCGAGGACACCAACCAGACCTATGTTGGAAGATAAAAAAAAATAGATGAACAGATTGAAATAGATTAATAATTTAGGAAATAGATACAGAACAAATAGTAGAACACCTCAATAAATGAGTTATGATTTTTAGTAGTTTCAGTTTTCAGTAAGAGTTTTACGGCACTTGCAACACAATAAGGTCATACTGTATAAGTGCCGAAGATTAGAGGTGTTACGAGAGAGTAAAAACACAAAAAGAAGAAGTGGAGATAGAGACGATAGATGTTTGATACGGAAGAAGGAGCAAACCACTCCAGAGCAATTAAGGGGGGGGGGGGCTACACCTGGAGGCTATCTCGCTTATTACTGGACCGAATTGTACCACATTTCACACATATAACAAGCATAGTAAGGGGTCTTGAAATCCGCAATCAAATTTGAGAAAAAAAGTTTCGTTTCCATGGATACGCCGCCATATTGGATTTTATTGACATGTCTTACGTAATGAATACCGCACTTATCGCTCATGGAAATTGATTGTTTTTTTGCATGCGTGTTCACAAACATTAGATCTAAAAATGTGTCTGTTGTTTTTTTCCTAATCAAATTAGAAAATTTTCAATGAATTTTTTCCTGAGGTAACATTCAAGTTTGCGAAGAATCCGTGAAAATCCACACTCCAGACACCACCAACAAAAATCTATTCTATATATCAAAAATTCAACAGATACATTTTTAGTATTACCTCTTTTCTTCATTCTGTGAAAATTTCATGAAGATTGGATGAAAAATGGTGGAGTTATTCAAAAAAGTATAGAGAAAAGTAGCATTTTGAGAAAACGGCCGATAAAGAAAAATAAAATACTGACTTTATGAGGAAATGCCCGGTATGGGAAAAAATACGATTTTTGGGGGTTCTTATGACATGAAATGGTTGTAGGAGAAGCTGAAGAAGCTAAAAATGCCTACAACTCAAATTCCATGATTTTGAGCCGAATTTTGATTTTGGGAGTGTAGCCCCCCCTTAATAAATAATACGTTTTTCCCATTCCGGATTAATCCTCAATATCACTCTTTAGTCAGTAAAACTGGGTGGGCTTTATTTTAGCCACTTCTGGCCTTTTTTTTCATTATTGTATAAAGCCAGGAATTGGTAAGCCATTTGTCTCGTCTTGTACAAGAACAGTGATCTATTTTACGAAATGGAATGATTCTCAAGGGCAAGTTAAACCTTTGGTATGCTGATAATGGCGTTGCTTGACTAACTTGAATAAAACTAAAGAACGAGAAAGTGGGAAAAATAATGAAAAGGTGAGAGAATCAGCAAACAGAAATGTTAGACAATTTTGGAATAACCCAAAATATGATACTTTTTTTTTATAGGAAGGAATAAGTCACAATTGTTTGGGGGTTTTTTGTCAGTGTCTGTACATATCTATCTTTTGCTTAATTTGGTAGGAGGTTGGGGGGGGGGGGGATTCTGTTCTACTCATCAAAACAATTTTAGTCAAAAACGTCTTAAGTCGTTTACTAACAACAAATCTGAAACAGGCGTGCATGATCAGACCGGCAGAAGTCCATATTATGTACCTATGTACACGCGAAAGAATGACGATAGTCTTCTTTTTCCCCGTCATTGTTACCCTTTTAGTTTACTTTTTAATGCTGCAGCGTGAAGACCACAGTGAAATTATGATATGAAAATAAGAAAATACATTTGTGGTAACAATAATAATTTTTCTTCTTAATACAGAAGTGACGCTTTTGGCAGCCAAGACATACCTGTGAATCCCACAAGGAAGTGCACGCCACCGGCGATCATAAGACTGCCGGCGAACGTGTTGATCCTGGAAATGGCTATCTCAGAGTTGAGCACGAACGAGCCGTTTCCTACTTTAGCCATCAAGACTGTCTCGTTCGTCACTGGGTCCGCCATCTCTACAGTCTCCGGACATTTAAACTCTTCCAAAGTCAGTAGAGCCACGAGTGGGATGATATAGGAGGCGTTTGGCCCCTGGAATATAGGGAGGCGCACGCCGAAGGTGGTCATGAGGAACGTGGAAAATCCCATCATCATCATGGTTGAACAGAGGATCCGAACCTTGATGTCGTCTTCGTCCTGCGCGCAGATTGCCTCCGCCACCACCATGGTTGTTCCTAGAGGCGTGGAGATCGCCAGGAAGGCTTGCTGGAGAGCGAAGAAAAGGAGGAAGTGGAAGGGGGGCGTGTCCGTCAGACGGTAGATGAGCCGCTTTGGCGGCGCAGTGGGGATTTCCACAACGTTCACAGATGGAGGTTTTTCATCCTCTTGTTGTTGTTGCTTCTGGATGTCTTCTGCGTACTCGTTGTTGTCCATCTTGGTAGTGGCAAGGCTGGGATGTTTTTCAACAGTGCCATTCTCCGGCGTACCTCGGTGTGTGAGGACGTTCTCCAGTTCAACGTGGTTCGAGTCCTTGCTGAGCTCCCCGTCCGGGCTGGTTCTGTCGTCCAGATTGTGGTGTGGGGAAGACATGCTGACGTCAGCTGCCATGTCCTTCTGTGAAAATATTATTAATGATAATAGATAGCATTTGTATAGCGCAAATTCCCTCTCAACAGCAAGCTCTGTGCGCTTTACAATCTAAACTGTTACCCAGGCAGACCTGACATCATTCTCAAACTATCTCAGCTTCCTGGGAAGCATATTATGCAAGTTGCCGTATAGGAACTTAAACACTAACATACTGACAATATCTTTCGCTGTCTTTGACAGGGTACGCATTCCCGCCATGGTGAAATGACGAAAATTCTAGAAAAGTGCCTTTCCCAAGGACACAGCGTCGGGCCCGTGGCTCGAACCCCCGAACCTGTCTCCTCACGATTGCGATTACCGAGAAATTTTTGATTTTATGAAGCATCGCTTTTATTAGTAAGGTTAAAAAAATGTCTGAGAGTGTCAGGAGGATGGTGACAGTCAAGAATGGCTGGGACGTGGGGAGGAGGAGGGGAAAGGAGAGTCAGGAGAGGGTGTTATTTCGACAGATATTATCAATGAGGCACAAAGACTCTGAAATACAATATGCCGATGATCTAATGCCGTCTCCGGCTTTTGTGTTTTTAAGGATGAGCTTTTTAGCCGTCGCGCACTGAATGTAGGATTTCGATTCTACACTGGGGATTTCTTTACATTGAGCATCTAAGTTTATCTGTTTGGATTCTGCATCCCACAGACAGTTTGCAAAGCGGCTCGCCCCCTATTTGAACTAAAACATATAAAACGGGAGCTAAAACATTTACATGTAAGTACTCCAATGCTGTCCTGTTAAACATGAAACATAAAAACATGCGGCTAACACCTCTGTCTAAATCATAGAGAGAGGAGATCAGTTAACGCAACGTGCCGTGGCATAATAATATAATGAATATGTGAGGCAGCGTGGTGGAATCAGGCTCTCGTCAAAATAATCAAAGTGAAGAAACTTGCATTTTTCCGCATGTTTCTGAATTTTTATCAAATTTTCGTTTTTTGGCTGAACACCTTTCATGCCCTTTAAAGAAATCATTTCTGTGCGGATTTTTCTGAAAAATGTTGATTAAAGGCACACAAAATTTAAATTTTCAGTTACCACGGACTCTTAAGCAAAGGAAATAACTAATCTTTGGCGACCATTTTCTCACTAATTTTACCTCTGAAAACAAGTGACCCCCACCTCCTTCTTTCACAAATATCTCGACTTGTATTCAAGATAATGGATATTTTTTTCCATCCAAATAAAGACAACTGAACAAGCTTTAAGATGGTACGAATAACTCGACATGCCCAAAAATTGACGAGAGCCTGATTCCACCACGCTGCCTCACATACCTTAATTAAACAGAAAAATGGTTGTCCGCACCGTCTGTTCCACTTCGGACTCGCTACGGCAAAAAGACAACACCTTTTGGAAGGACAACCTTCAGGGGAAAAGTACTTACTGTAAAGTGTTGACAAAAATCTACTGCATACACCACAACAGAATGCACTACTAACTGTGAGCGTGTACGTGTCTCTATAGTGTGGTAAGATATGTGAGCGTGTACGTGTCTCTATAGTGTCGTCAAAAATTAGTTGCGTACCTTATTGTCAATTTACGTTTTGTCAACTATTGAACATAAATTCTCCATCTTTTGCACTATGACTTGTAATAATTTGTCTTAAGTGATCGATATTTGAGTAAGCATCTTTGAGATGCATTCTAGAACATGCCTAGATAAACACTAATTAACAATCCCAATGGGAGGCTTCCACATGCTATTCTAAACGATTTACAACTGGGATAATAGTAATATTGCTTTTAAAAGCAAGTCCACCATATTTTTTTCTAATCTGAACATTGTGCTTATTGAACGCAAGTTTTGAGAACCTTTAGTGCCTTTAGTGTATACAATGTATTACTTGTAACAACTGTTACCACCAAAATTGTGATTAGTCAGCTGTGGCGTAAGCCACAATAATATACGTATGCAAAATGTGTGTGAGAAGCGGGAAGCGTTGTGAACGATCCCATTTTCTGCTTGGCGGAAATTAATAGTTTTTATATTAAATGTACTACTCCATTTCATTGTTTAAAAAGTTTACTTTCTTTTATAAAACAAAAACCCATAATGCCTAGATTTATTAAATTGGGCACAACATACTTTTTATATCTTCTCTATTCAACATAGCATCCAACGTTGTTAATGCACTTCTGCATACGCTGTAGCCTCACGTTAAACGCACTGACGTAAGTGCATTTATCCAAGCACTTATATGCCTTTTTTGTTTCTTGAATGATGTCCTCCTCTGACTGAAACCAGTGTCCACGAAAAAGGTGTTCTTTCATTTTGGGGAACAGGTGGAAATCCTACGGGTCAGGTCTGGAGAATACGGCGGGTGTTCCAGCATTTCGCACTCATCGCCAACCGTAACATCGGTCACCGCCTGGGCTTTGTGAACTGGCGCATTGTCGTGATGGAACACAGTTCCTGATTCCAACAGCCTGGGTCGGGGGGTTCGAATAGCAGGCCTGGTTTTTTCTTGCAATACCATCTTGTAATACTGGGCATTGACTATAGTACCTGTATGAACAGGCCAGCTCAGAAGCACACCTTTCATGTATAAAAAGAATATGTGTATGACCTTGACAGCCCCTCGTTTGCGGCGCGCTTTCTCTGGACGTGGTTCATCAATGTCTCTCCATTTGCCAGACTTGTGATTTGTCTCGGGGTCCCAAGAATAAACCCAAGTTTCACCACCACTAATGATTTGAACCAGGAATGTGTTGAGCTCTGTTTGAAATCTCATTTTGAAATTCAGAGGGAAACTGACCCTTGACTCCTTTTGTTTCTGTGTCAGCAAATGAGGGGCCCATTTTGAAAATACTTTTTTTCATTGAGTTCGTTGGTGAGAACTCTAAATACCGAGGTGCTAGACACTCGTGTTTCATTTCCAATCTCTTCACATGTTTTGCTCCGGTCATCATTCAGTGAAATGAGCACTCTAGAGATGTTGGCATCATCACATGCTGTGACTGGCTGACCAGGACGATTTTTATCTTCCATCTTTTCTCGACCCTCTGCAACAGCTTTTGCCCACTTCCTAACAGTTCGAACAGAAGATGCATTTGCTACCAAGACCATAAAAATATTACTTTGAATCTGAGGAGAAGTCTTACCCAACAAAACAGAAAAGTTTAAAATGACATGAATGTCAGATCATGAAAATTTGTGTTGCACTTTTGAATCTTCCACTTTGCCGGTAATTCTATTCCAAGCACCACCAGAAAGTCATGTGTCTTTCGGCACTCCTTCAACAAAGTGCCTTCAAATTTTAATGCGACTTATCGAAAATGTTTGTGTAGAAGTGTACCCGATTTGCATAGCTACCTCGAATACTCTCGGTTTTGTGAGATAAGGAAACTTATTCTGAAACAGACCTCGTATTTAGCAAAGTTCTTTAATCTAGCCCAGATCGTTGTGGAAAACATGGTTCAGTTAAAGGATCTATTACACGTTCAGTTAAAACTGGCAGTTGTCCCTCTTCTTTGTGATAAGAAAATGATACACGATGCAATCTCAGCAATATTATCACTTGTACTTTTTTAAATTGCCATCGATAAATCGATTTTGTAAAGAGACAGAGTTAATACATTGAAACAGGCATTAGGTGGACGAATGGCACATATTTAGGAGATCTAGATTTTGCGGATGACATCTGTTTATTAAACAACACAGTACATGAAATGGAAAAAAAAAAGACGAACCAGCAAAAGTTGCAGGAAAAAGTTGGATATATAATAAACATTTTAAAAACAGAAGTAAATTTACTACGACTATCATCAGAAACTACACCCTTCGCTCTTTATGTAGAACCCCTTGCAGAAATGAGTAAATTCAAGTACCTTGGCAGCATTGTATCCAAAACTGCAGACTGCCTTGCCGACGTCCACCAAAGACTTAATAATGAAAGGATCGCTTTTGTGAAACTAAAGACTACATTATGGAAGTCAAAGATCACTTCATTGAGGAGGAAATTAAAAATATATAATAGCAACATTTTGGCTGTATTGACGTATATTTCAAAGATATGGAAAACAAACAGAACAACTCAACGAAAATTAAAAAGCTTCTAAGCTAAATGTCTATGAAGAATTTTACTAGTAAATTGGAATGAATTTATTACAAATAATAAAGTGTTGAAAAGAGCTGGAATTGAAGACATCAACACAACAATAAAAAAGAGAAGATGGAAATATCTGGGACATGTTCTGAGAATGCCAAAGACGAGATTGCTTTATCAGACATGGCATTGGAAAGCAACTGGGAAGAGAAAGCGGGGAAGACCAACTGGAAGCTATAGAGGCACAAAAAGAGATGAGACCGTCACCCAGAGCCTAGATGAGTCAAAATTAGAGAAAGTGGCCCGGGACAGACATGTGTGGCGTCGATTGTTCTCCGCCTTATGTACCTGACGAATAGGGAAAGAATAAGTAAGTACTCTTAGCAAAAATACATCCTTTTTGTAATCTTCTAAATCCAGCAAGGAAAAGAGTCATTGGCAAATCATCTTTTAATTTTGATACTCTGTTTCCGAATTTGATCTTATTTTTACGTCAAGACATAGTTTTCAATAAATGTACATGAGATAGTGTTATCACCAGAGGCCTGCAGACATGACAGACTGTCCGGCCGATCGGCCACAACAACAGCCAGACATAGTTTGATATTTGCACGTCCGGCCGTGGGGCTGGCCGCACCCGCTGGGGATAAAATTCTCATTTTGTAAACTTTTTTAAAACTACGTCTTAACGTAAAAATGATATATGAGACATCGTGGTGGAATCAGGCTCTCGTTAATTTTTGGGCATGTAGAGTTATTGGTATCATCGTAAAGTTTGTTCACTTGCCTTTATTTGGATGAAAAAAATATCCATTTATCTTGAATACAAGTCGAGATATTTGCAAAAGAAGGAGGTGGGGGTTCACCTGTTTTTAGAGGTAAAATTAGTGAGAAAATGGCCGCCAAAGATTAGT